AACTGAGGAGTACCTGGGTGGCTTAGTCGGTTAAGCATCAGACTTCAGCTCAGGGCACGATCTCATGGTTCGTGAGTTTGATCCCTGTATCAGGCTCTGTACTGACAGTGAAGAGCCTGCTTGATTCTCTCTCCCTCTCTCTCTGCCCCACCCTCAACAGTGCTTTCTTTTTCTCTCTCAAAATAAATAAATAAACTTAAAAAGGAGAAGAAGAAGAAGAAGAAGAAGAAGAAGAAGAAGAAGAAGAAGAAAAAGAGGAGGAAGTCTCCTCAGACTTTCCTTGATCACTATATCTAAAGCTGCTCCCATTCACTTTTTGAGTCAATATCCTGGATTTGTATTTCTTTCTTTGCTCTTATTTCAGTTTTTATTTATCAGTCGTTTACTTATTTATTATGTATTTCTCTCTCAAAACTGTAAGCCTTCTGAGGTCCAGGACCATGTCTGATTTATTCATTCCTATTCTTATAGATCCCAGAACAGGTTTGGTGCCCAGCAAGTATTTCTTGATTGAACAGATGGGTAATTGCTCATGGTCTTAAAAAGGCAATCCTATGAGATGTGAGGTCCAAATTAAGATAGCACCTTACTTGTCTTTCTCTCCATAGTGCCTAAACACTCAGTAGCTGATACCTTGCAAGGACTTAACAAATATTTTTGAATGAATTAATAACTGAAGCTGTTTGTAACCTAAAAAAAAAAATCGACGTTATCACTCATCTTAAGATCCTTATATGAATTAATCAGTAGCCTCTGATTTTTTTGCAGTTGGGTAGGCTCATATGTTTATTTTCTATATCATGGTATTTTTTAATGGACTTGCACATTACTTTCTTTATACTCCCTTTGTTAATATGGCACAATAATATAATTTATTCCTCTTAGGTTTTTCAGGCAGTTTCTGAGCAAATACTCAATGAATCCTTTCTGTTTCTCAATTGGATGAGACTTGATGAATAAAACTGTGAATACAACTGTGAAAGGCATTCCCTTTTTAAAAATGAAATCATGGGAAGTTTATATAGTTTCTCATTGACAGAGATATTTTGAACTCACTAGACTCTTTGGGAAAAAAAAAAAAACTAGTATCTATGAACTGGAAGAGAAGCTTATGACTCATTTCAAACTAGAAAAATCAAGCTAAATTTTTCTGATTTATTTCTGGTGTGTTGGTTCATTTCTATTTATTCTCATTAGCTAGGCACTATGGAGAAATATATATATAAAATAGAGATTCTTCCCCCAAGGAGCTGATCAAACAGCGGGAAAAAAAATTCCAACAGCCCTAACAAAGGCCAGCCTGGTCCGAAGTGTAATAGGAGCATAGAGTAAGGAAAGGCATGTCACAACTGATCGATATGATCAGTGAATGCCTTATGGAGAAGGTAGCATCTTAGGTGGGTCTTAAAATGGGCTTATTTCAATAACCATTATGATATGGGTTACATGGAACATTTTATATGTGCTAATTGGATAGAACCAGCAATTCAAAAGGCCATTTTTAATATCCCTATGTGTTGTTACATCAAGGAAAGCTTATTGGGTAGCCAGAAGTTTAAAAATTAAACATAAGGGGTGCCTAGGCAGCTCAGTCGGTTAAGCATCCAACTTTGGCTCAGGACATGATCTCATGATTTGTGGATTCGAGCCCCATGTCAGGCTCTCTGCTTCAGCGTGGAGCCTGTTTCAGATCCTCTGCATCCCCTCTCTCTGTCCCTCCCCAGCTTGCGTATTCTCTCTCACTCTCAAAAAACAGATAGACTTTAATTAATAAATAAATAAAAATTAAACAAAAATGCACACAGACATATATGCATAAATAATATACACAAATTTTGTGAAATTAATGAGCTCAAGAACATGAAAAAAACATTTTTCAAAATATTTGATAAGACCAGTTTAAAATCCTAAAATTTTAGCTTTTTTATTTAGTCCACTTCTCTTATTTTAAAATTAGGGGGGCAAAAAAAGTCTTGGGAAGATGAATCAGCCTTCCCAGCTGACTAACGGCAGAGAGGGCTCCACCCTACATTTCCCACTTTGACCAGATTATCTTGCCATCATGCTCTACTACCTTCCCAATAATCAAGTATGAATTATCCTATTACAGTATACATGTATTTGCTGGCCACATCTTGGATTTCATAGAAAACAAAATTCATAAAAAATATCTCTCTTCTCCCACTCAAAAAAAAAAAAAAAAAAAAAAAAGTAGGCCAGAGTTGGCAGTGGATACAGTTTCAAACTGTTATTAACCAAAATTCTAATCCTTTAGTCATCACAACAGGCCTATGAAGTAGGCATCATTATCAATGTCAATTTTACAAATAAAGAAGCCGAGGCTGGTACACTTAAAAACTTGCCCGGGATCACCCAGTTGGGATATAAAAGAGTTGGGGGCTTGAATTCATGCGGAGGGAGACTAAGCCTTTACCATTAGTTACCAAGACCGTTTTGTAGATGGGAGATCATCTCCATCAGCTGACTCTGGACTGCACAGACTGATTATATTCATGCTTTCATCTCCATCACGTAGCACAATCTCTTCGTACATTATAAGCCTATTTCATGTTACTCAAATAAATATGGATTATTAATTCAATGATGCTGACTCACTGCTCCAAACTTAAAACCAATGTGATTTATTCTTTGGTTAGGGAAATAATTAGGAATCTGGCAGGCACTGGATGTTGGGTCATGTCCCAGAAACCAGAAAAAAATATCTAAGAAGCACCAGATGCTGAGGCGAGCAAAGGCCAAGGAGGAAGGGACCACCGGAGGTGGAAAACTGGCGGCCCAGGTCGGGGCCGGGAGAAGGGCGGGCCTATTGTTGGGGGAACTTGCTTCCGGGGAGGGGACAGCAGTGCGGGGCGGACCAGCACCCGGAAGTGGTGACGCGGGAGACTGTGGGGAACTGTGAGCGGCGTCAGGTACGCTCCAGGCTTTTTGTCCCCGGGTTCGAAATTCCCACTTTAGCCTTGGAAATTCTTTTCTTCATACCTCCTCACGTCTCCTAAACCATCCACTCCCGTCAGGCCTGGTGCGCCGAGTCCTGCAGTAGAGTTGGGTCCCTCTGGTCCCCGGCACGCGGGGGGAGGGAGCGGGAGCCCCGGGCCTCGGGACCGAGCGTGCGTTCACCGAGCGCAGCAGGGAGGGGAGAGGAGGAGCCCCACCCCCACTCCCAGTCTGTCCTCGGGCCCCGCACGGGCCCCGCCAAACCGGGGAGGGGGAGAGACGGAGCTGAGGCCCAGATGCTGGTTGGCATAAGAGCCAGGGAGAAAACGGCGCTGTCACCCACCTGAGGGGGGTGGTTGCTGCTGGGCCGGAAGGTCACAAGTCAGTGCCTGCTTCTCACCGATGAACTTGACCGGCACTGAATCACCAGCTTGTTTCCTAGTTTCACGGGCAAGAAGGCCACAGCCACTGAAGAGATGTTGATGGAGGAAATTGGGGGGTACCGTGAAGACACCTAGAAATGGATTGGATGGCTTTTCAGCCTGTGTGACAAACTCCTACACCGGGCGGAACGGCATGCGATAACAGCCAGTGGAATATTAGCGATGGTTTTAAAAAGAAAAACACTCCCAGAGTCTCATTAGAACAGAGGCGTTTGGGAGGAAAATCAAGCTGAAATTAAAATGAATTTAATTCAAGAGCTGGGATCTGAGAACTGTAGTAAAACCTTTTTATTTAAAATGTTAGGAACTAAAAAGAAAAATGTTGGGGGGGGAAAGTTTTGAAGTTTTGCATTAACTACCTCAGATTATCCTATAGTTCTATTAAAGAGTAACAGTTATCAAATACTGATGATTGTTAAGCTTTACCCCAAAAAAGAATTTTGCTGTATTTATTATGGGGTGCTAATTACAATTATTTTCCTGCCTTAAAGATCAAGTTATAATTTTTAAAGGGATTTTTATATAGTTTTACTTGAATAATAATTCAGTAAGCTGAAAATGCACAGCTAAAATTCTTTCATTTAAAAACCACTAATAGTTGTCAGATGTCATATATTTGATTTAACGTCCAATCAAAAAGAGGAAGGAAACGAGATTTGTGAAGTAACAAATTGTCAAAGCAATGTCTGTTGTGTTGTACTTCATTTGAAACAATAATATGACCCGTAAAATTACTTTAGGAATTTTATTTACCTTTTACTTTGGACTAGTTTCCATTACCACTTTCACATACCAGGCATTGGCATATGCTCTTTCCTTAATCCAGAATGCCTAAATTTCAAATTTGTATTTTCTCCTTGCACTTTGCTTGTGAAAAGTCTAAAGTGTCTCATATTTTTAGATTGTATTAATCCTAATTCTTCTAAACACTCTCCCATCCCCAAGTGTAAATGCTAGCCGTTTTGTGAAAGTCCATTTCTTCATCCTAACTGGATGAGTTTACCTCTGGAATAATGTAGAATTTCTTATGATTGGTTCCATAGGACTAAAACTAAAACTCATTCTTTGCAGTTAGCTGGTTATACCCAAAGGAATTTGAGGGGCAGGGGGACACAATTCAGTCCATGGCAATAAGCACACTACCAGGAAATACAGCAAAAAATACTCGTGGCATGATAGTTATGAAATATTTTAAACACCGTACATTGAGAATACCTATATTTAAAAGTCACACATCAGATTTAGCAGTACACCACATTTTGAGTCCTGTCATACTGATGGCAGGAAGATGAGTTGAACAATGGGATAGTTTTTTGTGTAACAGGGACAAATAATTTCTACATATGCACATAACATTGCACTAATTTTAGATTTGTTTAGAGAAAACTTGGGTGGCATGCAGAAGAATGGAGAAGCCTTAATGCTTTTGACTATTATTAATAATGTGTATAGCAAAAATTTTCCACATGCTGTGGAGCTCAAGTAGGTGCTCTATGCGTGGAGTATAGAAACGTTAGTATTTGACTTATTGTCACTATTGTACAGCTTTTGTTTACTTCTTCATCTATTTTTTAACCCTATTTGCTCTTCACTAGTTTAGACATGAGTCAAAGCAGCGAAGGATGTATGAAAAAGATTAGCGGTGTGAATCTTGACAAGCTTATAAGTGATTTCTCACAGATAGAAAAGGTATGTAAAGATATAAAACAGTTGTAGTAGAAAAACTATATATAGTATAAAAGCATATAGTATAAAATTTATAGTATAAAAGGGAAATAGATTTTGCCAGTGGAAGAATTTGGGAAGTAAAGAAAAATGTACCAAAAAATAAGCAAAGTAAAGACAATGGAAATATATTTTTGCTAAGTCCTTTCTCATTTTTAAAATCCATATTTAAAATATATTTCATTTTGGATCATTTGTACTAATACATCAAAATGTTTCTGGGACAAGGAAATAGTTGATATACTTTGGCTAAAGTTAAAAGGAAAATACATACTTAAATGTTCAAAATGTCCATAAACTCAGGAATGGTTTAATAGGAATTGAAATAAAATAAACTCAATCCTCAGTCTCTTACCATTATGACTAACTCTAATTTTTTTTTTTTTTTTACTCTTTTCCTCTGCTGTTCCTTTTTCCTTCTCTGTTGCCTAAAAACAGATGTATTTGAAGTTCCTCTCCCCAAATCTAGACAAATTACATGATAGACCAAACCCACAAGTATATATTGGGTTTTTTCCCCCTTGTCTGCCTTGGAGAGGAGTAAGAATAGTTGTTGAGAAGATATAGGTGAATAAATGAAAGATTTGGGGAGTGGGTTTTTGAAGCAAGGGTGGGAAAGAGAATAATGCCTACCTCTATTTTCTCTCTTTATCATTCTTCTCTATTCCTTCTTTTCCTCTGCACAGTCTGGTATGTCCATAATAAAGGAATTATCATGACAATGGGTATTTTGAGATAGCATTATGAGCTTTTTTTTAAGTAGGCTTCACACCCCTGCAGACCCCAATGCAGGACTTGAACTCATGATCCAGAGATCAAGACCTGAGCTGGGGTCAAGAGTCAGACATTTAACTGACTGAGCCACCCAGGTGCCCCACATTATGAACTTCTTTAAACAATGAACTTGAGTTTTCTTAACCAAGTGATTCTTACTAAAATAAGAGAGAATAGAGAAAGAAAGAAGAAGCACTGTTCGTGGGAGAGGAATTGGTGCAAAATTTTTGGAGATTATTTAGAACTATCTGTCATATCCTTAAATATTTTAAATAAGAAATATTGATTTTTTGATGTGATAAAGTATTGTGATTGTATTTTTAAGAATCTTACCTGTTAGAGATACGTATAGATGGTGATATTTGTGGATGAAATAATATAATGTCAGGGAGTTGCTTTAAGATAAATTCAGAGGCAGAGAGAATGGGAAAGTGGGTAGAGATATAGATGATACAATGAATTGAGGATTTTTGAAGCTGTCTGAAGGGTATATGTCAGCTATTACACTGTACACAAAGATACCAAAAAGGTATGTTGAAGGTTTATTCATTATTTGTAATAGCAAAAAAAAAGTGAAAACAACACAAATTATCCTCAGTAAGGGGACTAGTTAAATAAATTACAGTATATTCATAAGTGAAACTCAATGCAGGTCTTAAAAAGAACGAAGTAGGGGCGCCTGGGTGGCGCAGTCGGTTAAGCGTCCGACTTCAGCCAGGTCACGATCTCGCGGTCCGTGAGTTCGAGCCCCGCGTCGGGGCTCGGAGCCTGGAGCCTGTTTCCGATTCTCTGTCTCCCTCTCTCTCTGCCCCTCCCCCATTCATGCTCTGTCTCTCTCTGTCCCAAAAATAAATAAAAAACGTTGAAAAAAAATTTAAAAAAAATAAATAAATAAAAAGAACGAAGTAGACCTAAATGTGCTTGTATGGACATCATCTCCAAGATAATAGTTCTAAGTGGAACATCCAAGGTGCAGAACAGAGTATAATATGATCCTTTCCTATAGTTGTATAGTTAATCATAAAATATTTTGGAAATATGTATAAGGAATTGTTAACCATAGGACTGAGGGTTGAATAGTTGGAAAGAAGGGGATTCCAAGTTAGCTCATATTCTTACTTTTCATAACTTTTTATAACTGTTAGTCTGTTTTAATTTTTTGCCATGTTACTTTTAAAATTAGATAAATGAGGAAGTTGGCTTACATAAAACATATGCCACACTTAATTATTAGACTTTCAGGTATTAAGTGGTCTGTATTTTCGTTAGTCTTCATATCATTAGGTAAAAAAAATGAAATAAAAATAGTGACATTCCTTGCTTTGGTAATATATATTGTTTCTTCTACAGAAAATGATAGAAACCAGTGGAAAGAATAATATACTGGATATGCAGTTGGAAAAAACTAACTATTTGTTAAAAGTAACCCAAACAAAGGAGGTTTCAATTAAAAAAGGTTAGTTCTTTACTGCCTGAAGAAATACAAAATCTCATAAGAGTATTTTTCGGTACCACAACAATTAATATTATACCATACATTTGTAAAATATTTTAAATTCACATAGAACTTTCCGAGCTATCATTTCATTTTATCTTTTATAGCCCTGATACATAGGATTGGTATTACTAAGCCACCTCAATAATGAAAAAACATAGGATGAGAGAAATTAAATAATCTGTTGGAGACCACTAAACCAAGAAATGGCAAGTCCAAGCCTTCAAAACCATGGGAAAAAATAACAGTTGAATTCCTGTCTCACAATTACACCAAAAGAAATTTCAGATGAGTCAAAAATTTTAGTGCCAAAAATGGGCTGTTCTAGTCTAAAGCTCTCCCCTTACTTCTGGGACAACCAGGCCATGTGTGCCTCTCAGCTCCCAGCAACCAATTGTCCTCCTGGCTGTGTCCCTGGTCTTGGTCCATCCTTTGCGGGCCCATTAGCCTGCAGGGAACCTGAAAACCCAGGCTCTTTGCAGGGCAAGGCGCTGCTCTTTGAGAATGCCAACTTGCTTTGAGGCACAATGGTCTGGGATTACACCCAGGTAAGTGAGCTTCAGCTGCACCTGCAGCCCTCAAGGCCCAGTAGTGCTTGGCTTCACTGTGCAACCAGTTCAGGGTATCTGGAGAACTCAAGAGAGCCAGAATTCCCTCATGTTCACATGGAACTATGAGAAGTTCCTGGTATGCCCCCAACAGTCTGTGCCTGACATTGAAGCCCTGCTGTACTGGAGCCCATCTGTGCCTTAGGTGCCCTTTGTACCACTGCTGGCGGGGCCGGGTGGTCACAGTGCTGTCCTCTGGGGAGGTTTCATCCATGATGGAGTTTTCTCTAAATTTTCGTGGAGGAATGCTTTATGTTTAGGAATGTTCCCCAGGATAGTTGCTGATCCTGTTCATCCCAACACCCTTTTCCCAGACCAACACTCCTCACTAATAAAGTGCCCTGTGTCAGGAGGGAAAGGAGAGAAAGCCATATGTATGTGCCCTTGACATGGTGTGATGAAAATGGCACTTCACCTCTATGATCTTCCTCCTAAAGACCCATAACCCCATCTAACCATGAGATAAGCGTCAGACAAATCCCCAAAAAGGGCTTTTCTACAAAATACCTGACCAGCACTCTGCAAAACTGTCAAGGTCATCAAACACAAGAAAACGCTGAGAAACTAGCACAGCCAAGAGGACATTAAGAAGACATGATGAGTAAATGCAATATGGTATTGTGGATGGGATCCTAGAACAGAAAAAGAACATAAGGTAAAAACTAAGAAAATCTGAATAAAGTATAGATTTTCGTTAATAATAATGTATCAACATTGGTTCATTAATTGTAACAAACATCTCATACTAATGTTAGGTATTAATAACAGGGGAAACTGGGTGTAGGATATTTGGCACCTCTAATACCTTCCTGATTTTTCTGTACATCTAAAACTATGCCAACAAATAAAGTTAATTAAAGGTGAAAAAAATGAAACCACCCCAAAAAATAGAATAGAATATGGGTTTTTGTGGGTTTTTTTGTGTGTTTGTTTTTTAGTACGGAGAAGGCCTTTCCGAGTGTGACATCCATCAGTAGGATTCTGGTTAAATTATGGCAGCTGATAAAAGAAAAAGTAGTTCTATATGATACAGAATAATTTCCAAGATACCATAAATGAAAACAACAGTGTTCACAACCGTCTTCTATCATTTTTATAAAAATATCTTTGTACACACAGAAAACCCTCTCCCTGATACATTTGTATATCTCTGGAAAGATAAACAGCCTCAGTATCCTGGTAACAGTGCTTGCTTTGGGGGAAGGGAAACTGGTTAGTCTAGAGGCCGAAACTGGAGAGATAATCATTTTTTACTATACTAGTATTTCGTGTGTATTTATCATTTGAAAAAATAATTAAATACTTTTTTAAAATCCAGCTCTACTTATTCTAAATCTAATGGCCTTTTTACTGGATAATATGCAGCAGAAGTAAAAGAACTAGTAGGAATAAGTTTGTAGAATCAAGTGTGTACCAACTGACCTAGAGAGGAATAACAAACTACATATATGATTCAATTTGTTCAACGATAAAGAATGAGGTCATGACATTATATTTTCTACATTGGATACCAGATAAAGAATTTCTGTGCCAGTTGAAGATGATAATAATGTTAGTATTAATGGCCAAGTACTTTTCATACATAATTGTATTCAACATTTCCAAGTGCTTTGTGAAATAGATATTAATGTTCAAATTGCTAGTTAATGGCAGAGCCTAAATTGAGCTCAAAACCACCATTTATTTACTAAATTATACAGTATTAAGAAGTAGCTTAGGGGCACCTGGGTGGCTCAGTCGGTTGAGCCGTCAACTTTGGCTCAGGTCATGATCTCGTGGTTTGTGAGTTCGAGCCCCATGTCAGGCTCTGTGCTGACAGCTTGGAGCCTGGAGCCTGCTTCGAATTCTGTGTCTCCCTCTCTCTGCCCCTCCCCTGCTCATGCTCTATCTCTCTAAAACAAATAAATGTTAAAAAAAAATTTTTTTTAAAGAAGTAGCTTAATATTCTGAGCTCTAGCTTTTAAGAAGCATTGGATAGGATAGTATTCATTCTAAAATCCAACAGAAATGATAATGTGGATAAAGGTTTGCAAAGAAAATTAAAAGCCATTATTCTAAAATAAGGAATGATATTCTACCTTATGAATAATTTTTTGTTGAGCCATTTTCCTTTGGGAAAAAAAAGTGTTGAGAGAGCCACCTTGTGTTCATATTTTGAAAATACACATTTTTTAAAAAATTCAATATACTTTCAGTTTCAGGGCTCTGTTTTCAATTTGCTGATTACAGTTGACCCTTGAACAACATGAGTTTGAACTGCATGAATTCACTTACATGTGCATGTTTTTTTGATAAAGACAGTACAATACTATAAATGTGTTTGCTCTTCCTTGTGATTTTCCTAATAACATTTTCTTTTCTCTAGCTTACTTTATTATAGGAATATAGGCTATAATACATATAACACAAAATATGTGTTAATGACTTCATGTTATCAGTAAGGTTCTGGCCAATAGTAGGCTATTAGTAGTTAAGTTTTGGAACTTTTTTTTTTGTTTAAAGTAAACTCTACATTCAATGTGAGGCTCGAACTCACAATCCCAACCAAGATCAAGAGTCACATGCTCTACCAACTGAGTCAGCCAGATGCCCCAGTAATTCACTTTTTGAGGTCAAAGGTCACACTCAGATTTTTTTTTCAATTTTTTTAATGTTTATTCATTTTTGAGAAACAGAGAGAGACAGAATGTGAACAGGAGAGGGGCAGAGAGAGAGGGAGACATAGAATCTGAAGCAGTCTCCAGGCTCTGAGCTGTCAGCACAGAGCCCCACGCGGGACTCGAACTCACAAACCGCGAGATTATGACCCCAGCCGAAGTTGGACACTTAACCGACTGAGCCATCCAAGCACATCCACACTCAGATTTTCAACTGCACAGGAATCAGCACCTCTAAACACCCATGTTGTTCAAGAGTCAACTGTACTGAAATAGTTTCAGCTATTTATTCCTCTAAAAGGCACAAAGAGAAGTGATGGCAGAGCCTATGCCTCCTTAATTTTTTTAAGATTCTATTTTTAAGTAATCTCTACACCCAATGTGGGGCTCAAACTCACAACCTTAAGATCAAGAGTCGCACACTCCACTGACTAAGCCAGCTACGTGCCCCCTTAATTTTTTAATTATAGCAGCTAACACAGTAACATATATGAAGTAGGCAATGTCAAGTGTGATTTAACTATCAATCTATTACTAGCAAATAGTAAAAGAGAAAAAATGGAGGATGGTGGGAACTTTGAGTAGGTGGTGGGGGGTGGTAGAGGGGGTACAAGGAAGAGTGAAAAACCACAACAGAAGAACCTTATATCTGCATAAAGCTTTTAACTTCTGCAAAGTACTTTCATTTCTATTAGCATAGTTGAAGAAAGTACTGGAGACTGAGTGTAGGACCTCTAACCGAAAGGCAAAATTTTGCATTTTCCCTTCACAGTATGGGTTCTTTCCTTTAGTCAATAAATAGAAATACTATTGAATACCTATGAAATAGCCACCATATTAGAAGCAATAAATATCAAAATTGATAAGATATGATCTTTACCTGAAAGAGTTCACCATCTAGTAGGAGGAACCACAAATAAATGAAATGTGATAAAAGGAGAAAAGAGATATATACAAATTGTTGAGAGACAGAGGAGAGAAATAACAACAATAACAATATTGAACATTTGTGAGTAAATTTAGAGAGTACTATTTTCTCATTTGGTTGTCAGATTAGTCTTATGTATGAGAATAGTCTTATATGTGAAGGAGGATAGGTATTACCCATATTTTTATTTTGCAGATGGAGAATCTAAAGCTCAAAAAGCTTGTCCAGGGTGTCATAGCTAGAGAGTGGAGAGGAAACTCTATTCTATTTCCTTGGACTCCAAGTTTCATGGTTTCATCACTATATCCTATAATTCCCCAGGAGGTATTGAATAGCAGATTAAGAGCAGGATTTGAAATGAGAAAAACATATGCTCAAGTCCATACCTTCCACTTATTAACTCTAAAATCCTGGGCAAGTAACCAAACCTCTATGGATGACCATCTCTCTTTGTAAAATCAGGATAATACCAACTTCTCAGTATCATTTTGAAAACTAATTGGGGTAATGTTTATAATGCACTTAGTGTAATACCTGGCAGAGTAAACAATCAATGGTATTATTATACACAGGTAACTTTTTATTAGATGCAAATATGGTATTTAATATTTAACCATCAAAACAGATGCCCAACTAGAATGGAAGTTAGTATGTCATACCAGTGCATACTGGCTGAATATTGGTCTTGGGCCTCTAAAACCTAATGAAAGAGAATAAGGCTCAATATTTATTAGTTGTTAAGTCAACTACATAAAGGTGAAATTGTCCTATTAAAAAAAAAAGGTGAAATTTTCCTTAAACTTTAGGAGTTTTAATATTTGAAAAATATTGTTATTCTTTTATGAAGCCTTCATCACTGTATATTTAGCTAGTATAATTGTAAACTTAAACTAGTGCAACCTGTTCTCCCTAACCTTATAGTAAAAATGTGATAGCAATAACAATCAGAAAGAGTCTCTGGTTCTGTTCTTGTCCTCTTTCCAGGGCGTCCAACCTACTCATATTACTCTAAAGGACCGCTCCTGGACTGGTCTTTGTGGTAGTAAAGTAGCTAAATCACAGACGTGTTGTTGGACTGCTGGGGTTCAAGCTGTAGCTCTACCACTTACTAAGTAGAAGTGTGACCTTGGGCAATTCACTAAACTTCTATGTGTCAGCTTCCTCATATTTAAATGAGACAAATACTAGGACCTACCTCATAGGGTTAAGAGGGCTAAATTATTCAATATTTGCAAAGCACTTAGAATAGCAATATAATATATATTATTTTCAGACAGTTTTTCCACTTACCCCTTTCTTGCTTCAGTTTACTATTACATTGCCTGTCTATCAATCAATCAATCAGTCAATCAGCAAATATTTATGGAGTGCCTGCTATGGATCACAACTGCTCTAGAGAAATGGTGAACAAAACAAAATAGTCCCTGATCTCCTACAGCTTACAGCCAAGTGGACTGCTTGAAATTACAGAAGGGTCCATCTCTGTTGCTACCCATCAAAGGTTTAGCTTTTTCTAGTTATAACCAGCTTATATTCACATGTCAGGGTATGAATGCTTGCAATGAAGTCTTCATTTCCCATTGTGGCAGAAGTCATTAGTACCAAAGTTGCTAATTCCTTGTAACTCAGCACATTAAGTTTTTACCTCTTTGCCTTGGGACTTAAGCATGAGTACTAAGAGGACAGGTTGGAAGACAGTGAGGAAGAAAAACATTATCTTCTCCCAAATGACACCTCACCAACTCTGGCTCTCGATCTTAACAAAATTTAGGGTACCTTGACTCTCTTTCCTTGAGATGTTCTTTCATGGAAAACTCACATGGATACACCGCACATAGTTCCCCAGGCATGTCCAAGTATGCCTTAACTTTAGGGTAGGTATTGCTAAAGCACATGGGGTAGGGAATCCCTACTATACTAAATTTATTGTGCTGTGGAAAACTCATTCCTAAATCCCAGAATGCATTTGGTTTAAAGGGTAATTAAAAACTACTTATTATATTATTTATTTCGAGATACCTGGCTGCTCCATAAAGATATCATAATTGTCAGGGCGCCTGGGTGGCTCGGTCGGTTGGGTGTCCGACTTCGGCTCAGGTCATGATCTTACGGTTGGTGAGTTTGAGCCCAGCGTCAGGCTCTGTACTGACAACTCAGAACCTAGAGCCTGCTTCAGATTCTGTGTCTCCCTCTCTCTCTTTGCCCCTCCCCTGCTCATGCGCTCTCTCTCTCTCTCTCTCTCTCGTTCTCTTTCTCTCTCTCTCCTCTCAAAAATAAACATTTTTAGAAATCTCATATTGTCAATTATTTTAAGTCTTTCAACTTTGAGAGAATAGTTCCAAAATGAAAGAGAATAATTTTCAAATAAATGTGTCTTTCATATTTTAGAATGTTCTGCTCTTCATAATATGATAAAAGGGCTACAGCAGACCATTGAACATCAACATAATTTGAAAGGTAAGTTAGAAAGAAATCTTTGAAAATATGATATATTTGAGTGCCTTTAAAAATAGAGTTTTTACATCACTGACAGTAAGTTTCTTTTAATCTGGTCTTGTTAAACTCATCAGCTAATGCCAAGACTTCTCATTACAAGATAATACGTTCCTAAATTGTTATGAAATAAGAAATACCATGCTGAACAGAATAATTCAGTCATATTCTGACAGGAACATCAGAGGATGTTTTATAATCAGTTATAATAATTCTCTTTATTATTTTCAAAAGTTTAGAAATATATTTGTTCTCAGAAGTACTCTTGGTTTTTAATGATCCTGTGTTCAGTTTTGAAGGGTAGGTATTTCGTAGTAGTTACATGATGAATATACTATTCAAACAGAAGTGATAGTTCACTATTTAGTGTTTTATCAGAGACTAAAGCTATGTTTGTGTAATGAAGCCAGCATATTCAGCTTATTTTATTTTTACTAGTCATGCTAACCCAATAGGCCTATTCATTGACAAAACAGATGAAGCAACCAAGTGTTTGTCCTGAGTTAGCTACAGTGCAGTGTTACTGGGATTTTCCTTTCATATAGGAGACTAGATGAAAGTCCCTAGTTCAGAGTCCCTTCCAACATAAAACTCTCATCAAACAAGAATGTTTTTACCTTAGTCTTCTATTGTTATCATAAAGTACTTTTTATATGTAGGTGAAGTATGATAATGATCTTACACACCATTTATTTGCTTTGGCATGTTATTCCTTATTGTCTTTATAATGTTCTGGTATTTATCTTTAAGAATTACTATTCTTCCTTTTTCCCCATTGTTTTACCTTAAAATATCTCCTCAAGGGTTGATGAAACAAATATAGAAATTGTATTAAAAGACTTTACGCTTACATTGTCAAGCAGCATCTGCAGTACAGAAAGGATTCAGCTCTTCTGGAGAGCAAAAGAGTAATATAGAGAACTACACCTTCTCCAGTGCCTTTTCTTTTCTGTGTTTTTACTGTTTGTTTATTTTGAGAGAGAGTGCGAGCAGGGTGGGGACAGAAAGAGGGAGAGAGAGAATCCCAAGCAGGGTCCAATACAGGGCTCCATCCCACAAATGATGAGATCATGACCTGAGCCGAAATCAAGTCGGATACCTAACTGACTGAGCCACCCAGGTGCCTCTCCAATGCCTTTTCTTTTGGCTTAGTCCTGCAGACTTCTGATTCCCTTATGTCCAATAGATTTTCATTTTTCTTGACTCTAGCAGTCTGCTCACTTTTTTTCAGGGTTTGATCCCCATCCCACACCTGGTCTGGGCTTTCATTTTCCCATCTCAATGCTAATGGTTCAGAACAACTTTTCCCTTCTCTGTGACTAAATACAACATCCAGCTGCATTTAAAAAATTGTGAATGTTCATAATCCTTACAGTCCTCTTATTCTAGGATTCAAATGGTACTTTAATTGAACTCTTCCTAGGATTTTGTTCAAATACAACATCTACCAGAAATTAAAGTTACTTTGAAGTCTCAGAAAGTTAATGTTTAACATATTCATTACTGAATTATAATTAATTTTTTGTACAAAAGATATTAAATATTGACCAATGGTCAAGAATACAATATTTTCATAGTCATAATATCCTGTCTTTGAAGTAATGTGTGTTTGGAGTTTAGAGTATGGACATGGGTCCTTAGTAGAGTAATTCATCACAATATATCAAATGATAGGGATTTTTCCTATATCATATTACTATATATTATATACTGGTTTAGGAGAACCCCTATAATACATTGTATTAAAGATAGTTACATTATGCCATCTAACTTATGGTTAGTTACTACCAGGGCAAAGAAAACAAGATTCAGAGATTTTTGTCCATTAGAGGAGAATTCAGGAATTTAATTTAGAAATTCAAACACGTTGGCAGGGTGTCATATGAAGAAAAGAGGGAGACACATGAAATCAACTGCAAACACAGAGCACCTTCAAAATCAGTAGAATTCAAACTCATTTTTTCCAATTATCTCTAAATGATTTCTTGCAATTTCGTATTGCTTTTTTTCCCCTGTTTGAACTGAACTTGAATAATTTGTATTTATTTCAGCCCTTAGACTCTACCAGGGTAGGTTTCCAGGAAGACATCATTATGCATAGTACAACTTTACTCTACAAAATTGTAGTAAGCAGAGTGATTTAATCAGAATTGATCACTGACAAGAATGTTTTAAAAAGGACAATAGCACATAGTTGAGTGCTATTTTGTAAAAGAATTTTCTGAGAAAGTAAACTAATCAATGACAAGTTACTCCTAAAGAAAAAAGTATTGCTCAAATTAAAAGTAGTTTGAAAAATGTAGAAAAACTTCTTTCAACATGCAGTAATTTGACATGTTAGCTTCTAGTACATCCTTGGGAAAATGCTACATTTATATAAGTATATTCTGTATGGAAAAATGATCTGCTATGAGAATATACTTCAGAATCTTCATTATTTAAAAATTGCCTCCTTCCAAAAGAGATTTGCTAATGGCACGTTAAAAGGAAGCTAAAGAACAAAACATATAAACAAGGCCAACTACATAATTTGCAGGGCCCCATGCCAAATGAAAATGTGGGGCCTAATGTGCAAAAGGCAGGAAAAAAGTAACATTAAAAGTTCTAAAATATAGAGCTTTTTTTCTTTCTTCTGTGGTCTCTCTCAACTTGACAGGGTTTTGTATTTGCTGTTAATGTTGCTGTAAGTAAAAAAGAATGAAAAATTTTAATTAGGAACATAAATGTTACCATTCATCTTTACATTGTGCAAATGAATTTTAAATCCAAAGACATGAGCATTTAACTCCTATGCAGAATCACGAAAGTACATAATTAATACTTCCTAGCTTGCACATGCATATTTGTTTCATTCTTACTAGAATAGTGTAAATGCTGCGCAAAACTACCTAAACCATTTATTATTCATTTTACTTCTTTTTTTAAAAATTTTATTTATTTTTGAGAGAGAGAGAGAGAGAGAGGGAAACAGAGGATCCAGGCAGGCTCCACGCTGATAGCAGCAAGCCAGGACGCAGAGCTCAAACTCACAAACCTGTGAAATCATGACCTGACCTGAACTCAAACTTTCAACCAATTGAACCACCCAAAAGCCCCTCATTTTACTTCTTGATACCTGCCCTTGCTACCAATACTCTCTACCTACACTTACTAAAGATGGGCTAAAAGGAAAAGGAACTGTGAATTTTCCTATCCTTCTCTTTCCTTTTACGTCTTCATTTTTAGCATAATTATTGGGTTAATAGAGGGAAATAACAGAATTAAGAAAGGACATGGTAGAGTTCCTTGGTCATTCATATTTCTTAGAATGCTACTGCTTTCTTTCTGCATTTGAAGCGAGTTCTACTGAAAAAGAAAATGAGGCCCCTTGCTTACTTAGTTGCAGATGGAACATGTTTACCTTGTACTTGTATTTTTGAGTCTTGCTGAACTCCCAAGTATCATGAGTCCACCAGAATTCTGTGTTCATGGGGCATTGCAAGTGCCGTGTATGAATGTAGTGTCAAGAAGCAGTAGACACAGATGTTGCTCTTATCTTCTCTGCTCACATGCATGCTCCATTGTCCCACTGGAATTTACTTAAAAATACAAGTTCGAAGACAAAAAGAACTTCAAGACATTAATGGCAGAATGTTAAAGCAAGCGTTGCACCCTTCCGAGTGCAGGGCCCAACACGGACACACAGATTGCACACTCATAATGCTGGCCCTGCCTGTAATGAATAGGAAGAGAGTTAGGAAAATACTTGGATCAGAAACCTCACTTAAGGAGTAGGTATTTCAGTATTGCACAAAAGTTAGCTCTAAATTTTCTAGAAACCAAGGCAAAACAAAATAAGAAGAAAAATGGTTATATAACTATAAATTTCCCATTTAAAATAAAATAAAATAAAAACATTCAGTTAGTTAAAAGACAAAAACTTTCCCAGGATCTGAGTAAATGCCACTGGAGGACAATCTTAATTTAGGTCAACATAGCATTTCTTTTAAATTTTTTTAATGTTTATTTTATTTTTGAGAAAGGCAGAATATGAGCAGAGGAGGCGCAGAAAGAGAGAGGGATACACAGAATCTGACACAGGCTCCAGGCTCTCAGCTGTCAGCACAGAGCCCAACGTGGGGCTCGAATCCGTGAACCACGAGATCATGGTCTGAGCCGAAGTCAGACACCTAACCAACTGACCCACCCAGGCGCCCCTAGATCAACATAGCCTTTATTCAGGCAACCAATCAAGTAAGAACTTTGAATGTAAAAATATCTAGTTCATTATGGAATGAAATTATTACAAAGCTAAGCAATCTAATCATAAATGATATTTTAAAAACTCGCTGTAAGTGAACAATGAGTATAAAGACAATGTACACTTAAGGACTTCCTCCCAGTTCAGTACTAAAGGAGAATAGCTAATTTTAGAAAAATATACTGCAAAATTATTAGAGTCCAAGAGAATAAGTTGAATTTTGGCTGGGCCAGAGAAGGATTACTTGCCAAATATAAGGACCAGGTGGACTCTACACTGATACAAAATACTATTTGAATTTACAGATACTCTAGCCAGAGCATCAAGAGCCTTACCACTTGAAGAAGTAGCCAGAGTAGGAACCTGTGTTTGAAAATCTAATGTAGAATCTGGTAGGATGACGAAAAAGTAACGGCGCCAACAATAATCATATGTTGTTTGTATTACAAATGAAAGGCAACATAGAGCCAACTGAAGTGTAATATAAAGTATTAAGGAAGGTTTGTTATTTCTTCAGTAGGTGGCTTTAGTTCACAGATAAGTTATATGGTTCTATTTAGCATTTAGCATAATTATAGATGTGCCAAAACCAGATAATATGCAAGCAGTATAACATTTGGATGGGTTGATCAGTTATTCTGGCAGAGGGAAGACTTATCATCATTAAAATGTCAGTTTCCTGAAGTTAATATACACATTTAATGCCATTTTAAGTAAAATTCTA